GTTAAAAATTTAGGGTACAAAATGCCAGAAACAGTATCAACACTTCATAATCCCCCTGCCTGAACTCGTCCTAAATGCACAGTCAACCTTCGGTCTCCAAATTACAAAAACAAGATGAAGAAAACTAGAGGATGCAGGAGGAGCAGTAAAACTGTTATCTTTAATAAGGAACAAACAGTTTGAAGCAAGACTAAGCAAAATATATATGTTCTCCCTTAGCAACGGATACTACGAGGTCTTATTCAAACCTTCAAGATGTTAAACAAATTTGACACACTCCAAACAATATATCTTTGAAGCGTAGATTGGTACAATAACACAGAACAAACACATGAAATTAAGAGGCCAAAGATGCCACAAAAAATTACTAATGTTTTTTACATCTATAAACAAGGGTTAAATGTATACAGTGAAATGGCTGAGCATTTTATTATGGGGAGCGCTAAACCCATATGGAATGGCTGAGCAAATACCGTATTGTGGCTGGCTGTGAATATCAGAACACCGACATTTGCTCATGAAGAATTTCAAAGTAACTGACTGACCAAGGGGAACTTTTGGCACCATATTTGTGGTAGCGGAGGTAATATAAGACCGTAAGAATGAAGGAAACCTGCAGTAGGCTTACTGGTACATGCTATTCAGGTCCAACTTACTTATATACCAGTCCAACCTATATTCAAGTTACCCAAGGTTATCATCAGTTCAATGATGCTACCTGCGAATTCGTCCCACTAATATACAACTCCACTGCAAAACTAATACTTTTCTATAACCTTTTTTCAATAAAAATGTGTCCAACTTGAATGCATTGCTTAAAGTCTTTGTTTTGGTTAGATACTTTCAACACTATATTTATATTCCCTTTGTTAATTCCTGTTTTTCATTTGTACACTTGTATTATCTCCCCTAATTCTACGTCATTCGAGGCTAATTCAATGCCTGTCTTCGTAAGAAAGGACTATGGTGCATGGGATCAACTTCATCTTTCTCTGTATATTTTCTAAGTTCATTTATGTTCTGTAATATGGAGATCTGAATAAGCAGCATAATTTAAGTGAGGTCTTAACATAGATATATAGTATTAGTAGTAGTGGTACAGGTAGCTGTCGTTAATATCTCAAACTTGATTCCACTTTTCCCATTAAATGTTATTCAAGTTTCCTAATTCACGTCACAGCACATCCTCGCACCACGAGAAATAATCGCGCAATCTGAAAGTTCTCTAGTTATCTGTTAGTCACCTCACTACCAAATGTATTTCTTAAATGTTTTATATATATCTTACTGGTTTATATAATCTAACCTAACGGTTAGGTTATATAAATCTGTACTACACTAACCTAGGCTATAAACCTGACTTAAACTAACCTTACTTAAAATAATGAAAGTGACATTAGTTTTGTGTATTTTTGTAAAGGTATATGTCATTTTTCTGTCATATAGCAAAAACAAAATACATTACCACTCAGTGACGTGAAGATTTGTGATCTTGAAGCCTTGTGGCACAGGTCGATGAAATCTTGCATAAATGATTGACATATTTGTGAAAATGTTTACAAAACATTCGCTTTGCTTTTATTATCATACTTTAAAATGTTATACAGTGACCATGGGTTGATTACCAGTTTATACACGTGACCAACACTTCATTATACACGAGCTGACCACTACACATAAGTTGACCACTACACATGAGCTGACCACTACACATGGGCTGATTACTGCTTTATCAATATGATCAACACTTACTCAAAGAATAAATAATAGACAAATTACTAACACGTTTAATCATACGTTCAGAGAACGCTAATTCTTCATGAAAGGAGATTTTGTACCCTACACTAGGAGGTCCCGTAGGCTTACCATGTTCATTTAGTGATGGTCAAATATAACATGTTATACACTTCAGCACTGACATTTTCACTGCTGTCGTATAATTTTATACAATAAGTTCAATATTTTCTGTCAATAAGTATCCAGGTTAGGTTTATTGGGTTTCAAGCCTATCAACCCACACAGTTCATTACGGTTACATATAACCTGTATTCCATCAGTCAAAGATACATTAATCTATAAAATATACACTAAAACTGCTTATATGCACAGACAGTCGCACACCTCTTGATGTATATACATTGCAAACCGTGAGTATCACTTGCGGCCATAAGACACTGTTTACTAAACGTCTCCAGCTCGGTCAAGACAACTGTTCGTTTTACTCATATTACTGACCTTTTTTATCAGACGTAATATTTATGTTTTAAATGTCACCACTGGAATCAGTAACTACTGTCTGAGTTATTAATGGTCAACAATACTGGTGCTGTTTTACCATATAGTGAGTAACGTGCTCCCACTCTCACACCAGCTGTAACACTGACCAACCCTCCTGCTGGGTCCTGGCGACCATTAAGTCTCTCGCTTTACTCTAAACAACTTGTCAGAGGACCTAATAACGGCTTTACTTGTAAATGGAAAGCGCTAGTATTCATCAGAATGATCTTGAAGCTCTTCTAACACTTTATTCTTTTAATAATTGTTAAAGGCCTCAATTTCATTTTGTAAAGTACGTTAACTGGAGTGTAGTTAGTCCCTGGCAGATGCTCACCTCAGGGAACACATGTCATCAAGGGTACGTATATGGTGAGGTGTATATCTCTCAGGATATATACACTAAGAATTTATTTTAATCCCTGTCCGAGAAATTAAAGTATTTTTAATTAATAATAATATATCTTTATTTCTACAAGTACATGTACAAGGTATACAGTCCTAACTGACATCAGTAACATACTACTATATAGAAAGCCGCTTGTTGTGCAGAGTATTTCGGGTAAATTAGGTCAGTTTTGTCCCAGGATGCGACCCACACCAGTCGACTAACATCCAGGTACCCATTTTACACTGATGGGTGAACAGGGACAACAGGTGTTTTATGGAAACATGTCCTGTTTTCCAGCCGTACCGGAGATTCGAACTCCGGACCTCAGTGTGTGAGCTGAGTGCGTTAGCGATCGAGCTACGGGACACATAAATTGATTGTTAAAAGGTGACATGCATCTTTAATGACCCTCGTGTAGTTGGGGTGTGAAGAGTAAAAATTCCTCAGTGTTTATTGACCATGTTGTGAAATAACTCCACACTTTTTATATCCATAATATAGTATAAACCCTGGTATAAACCTATGGTATAAACCATAATATAAAATAATAGATTATAATTGTCATATTAAATAACAAAAAGGCACAATATCGTGACTGGAACAATACACAAATAACCCTCGGGTTATTTGTGTATTTTTATATTCCCTGGGAGGTTCTAAACCCGTAAGGGTCATACAGCTCCTGGGGAATGGGAGGCAAACAGGCTTGATATGAGAAAGAAGAGGGGAACTCCAGTTCATTAGATCGAGAGCCCTTCACCAACATTAGGTGAAGTAATGAATTTTATTGTGTTGCAGTGAGTACGCATTCCGGGGACTTCGTAATGTGCAGATCAACTTGCAGTCCAACCACCTGACCACCATCACTGAGACAGTCTTCAAACCCATTATTCTCGACAGCCAGTTCTTTGTTTTCCTAAGCTTTAGTGGTTGGTATATAAATAAATAAATAATATAAATTTATATATATATATATATATATATATATATATATATATATATATATATAAATATATATATATATATATATATATATATATATAATATACATATTTTTTTTTTCAACAAACCGGCCGTCTCCCACCAAGGCAGGGTGGCCCAAAAAGAAAAACGAAAGTTTCTCTTTTTAAATTTAGTAATTTATACGGGAGAAGGGGTTACTAGCCCCTTGCTCCCGGCATTTTAGTCGCCTCTTACAACACGCATGGCTTACGGAGGAAGAATTCTGTTCCACTTCCCCATGGAGAAAAGAGGAAATAAACAAGAACAAGAACTAGAAAGAAAATAGAAGAAAACCCAGAGGGGTGTGTATATATACATATATATGCTTGTACATGCATGTGTAGTGTGACCTAAGTGTAAGTAGAAGTAGCAAGATGTACCTGAAATCTTGCATGTTTATGAGACAGAAAAAAGGACACCAGCAATACTACCATCATATAAAACATTTACAGGATTTCATTTTACACTCACTTGGCAGGATGGTAGTACCTCCCTGGGCAGTTGCTGTCTACACCCTACTACCCAGATATATATACATGTATATATATATTATATATATATATATATATATATATATATATATATATAATATATATATATATATATATATATATAATAAACAAACCAGCCGTATCCCACGGAGACGGTAACCTAATAATATGTCGTGCCGAATAAGTAAAACTTGCGATTTTGGCTTAAATAGGAACGCACTTCTTGCCGAATAGGGCAAGCGAAAATTTGTGTATGCAACAATTTCGCAAAAATCATTCTGAAACTATCGAAAAAATATAATTTCATTGTGTTTGTTTATTATTAAATTATTGTAAACTTCTTTAAAATATATTTAGTTGGATTAGGCTAAATAAAATTGAGCTTGTTATAATAAGGTTAGATAAGTTTCCTAAGGTTATTTTGGCACAAAGTTATTAATTTTTACATTAACATAAATGAAAAATATATCTTTAAATCACATAAGAGAAAATTTTAGAAAGGAGTTAATTTTAAATGAGTTCTTGCTAACTGACCAATTATACCTATTCGGTACGAATACACACACCAAAACACACACACACACACACACACACACACACACACACACATATATAATATATATATATATATATATATATATATATATATATATATATATATATATATATATATATATATATATATATATATAATGTTCTCCATGGGGAAGTGGAACAGAATTCTTCCTTAAGCCATGCGTGTCGTAAGAGGCGACTAAAATGCCAGGAGCAAGGGGCTAGTAACCCCTTCTCTTGTATATATTACTAAATGTGAAAGGAGAAACTTTTGTTTTCCCTTTTGGGCCACCCCACCTCGGTGGGATGCGGCCGGTGTGTTGAAAGAAAGAAGATATATACATATGTGTGTGTGTGTGTGTGTGTGTGTTATTGCTGCTTTAACATCAGTTGATGTTAATGATAACTTTAAATACGTCATACATTACTGAAAGGTTTCACCAGTTACGCACACGAGTAAAAATTTTAATATTTTTATCACCATAGCAAAAAATTACGGCAGTTAAATTTTTTGGGTGACCATGAAAAATGAAGTTCGTTTAGTTTTGTGAGATGTATCCCATCCCTCACTTTGTTAAGTCATTGCTTCATTAACAAGTGTTTGTTATCGTATATCTTCTATCCTTCCGTCTACCCATTTTCTTCCATCCCTTCCTATGTTTTTTCCCTCTCCTTAATTTATTTCCTGCTTAGTTGCTTACCTACCTTGCTTCCTCCCTTCTTTCTTCCGGCCCTATCCAATTCCTTTCTTCCTTCCCTTCTTCTTCCTACTTCCTTTCCTCTCTCCCTCCTTCCTCAACATCTCACAGCTGGATCACCTTCGTTATCCATTGGCAGGCAACAACATCACTTGTGACTGCAAGATCCTGTGGATAGTAGAGGACTCGTCTATGAAGAGTTGCTTTGATAACTTCATGTGCGCCAACCTGAACGTCCCAGTCTATTTAATAGATCCTGAAGATCTTGGTAACTGCACCAGACACTCCCACGTTCGACGCTTCCTAGGTTGAACGGAAAATCCTAGTGTTTATGTGAATTCTCAGTGTTTTTTTTTTCCAATTCTTAATGTTTATGTAGGCAATGTGTAGCACCTAGCACCAATTAAAGACTAATGCTTGTAAAGCTAGACATTGAGCCACGCCACATATCTTCCCAGCTGAGGCCATGTGACGTAGGTCAATGATATTGTTCCTTCAAGGGGGTGTCTTGATGCTGGTGAACGGTTCTTGATTCAAAGAATTTGAGCTACCCTTCCATTCCTCATGAAATCTGATTACTTGCCATTTTCCAGGCGCTGTGTCGCTAGACGCTTAGCGCTTCTCATTGAGCATAGTAATAATCAAAGGTTTGTACTTCACTGCTTTGAGACATCTCAGGAAATTATTATCCGTTCAGTGTCTCAGCGGCATAAGTTTTACATTAAACTTAAAAGAAGGAAAGCTTTACACATTTTCAAGCAGTATGTAAATATTGAGAACACATTAAAGTATATAATTTGAAGGACTGTACGTGAATATAAGAAATGACATGATGCGAGTGCCAGGAGAGGTGTGCTAGGGAGGGGGGAGGCGAGGATAGTTTTCTGCTTGTCTCAACACATGTAAGCTGGGAAATTTACATAACACAACATTCCATGTACTTCAAGGAGGTAAGATCATTAAAGGTTTTCACTCAAAAATATATCTTGAGAATATTCAGGTGATACACTTAAACCAAGCAGCTGTCTACCTGTGTTGAACATACAGTAATTAGTTGAACGAGAAAGCAAGAGATATTAAAAGATTATCATTCCTTAATTAAAACTAAGATTATTTTATTAATCTTTATGTTTATTTATTGTACGAGGGTCATTTAGGTTGTAGTTAAACTGTACATTAATAATCAAGAATATTTTAATTTCTATAATATGGATTAAAGACACATCTAAGTGTATAGACACTAATATATACACACACCTCTCAGTGCATATACACCGAGATCTTATTGTATACCTTGTTAAAATTATATAATTTTTGTTAACAAATATAATTACTGCAATATTTATTTCACGAGGACATTATATATATATATATATATATATATATATATATATATATATATATATATATATATATATATATATATATATATATATATATATGTGTGTGTGTGTGTGTGTGTGTGTGGTGTTTTGGGGTGTGTGTGTTGTGTGTGTGTGTGTGTGTGCAAAACAACCACTCTGAAAGAATAGAGAAATTCCAAGCGCTTTCGTGACTACTCACATTATCAAGGAACTATGAAAGTAAAGCATCCAAGGAAGCTATATAAGGGGTCTGGCCAGCACCTCACTATCAGATCCCACAACGGTTAAACACCTGACGCGCGCCGACCCAACTGGACAGGTCCTTTGCACAACTCACCCACAAACTATTCTACCCAAGAAATTTTAAAAATTATTATTTGTCCAGTGTATTATTAAATTCTTCCCAAATTCTATTAATTATAAATGTATCTAATTTATATAAACCAAAGGAAATATTCATATTATTGTCAAAACTGCTTTTTATGAAACAAGATTCAATTATATTCCTGTCGACCATGGACTTGCTTCATACTACTTTCTCAACTTTTTGAAAATCAATTGGATGGTTAAAATCTCTTACATGAATAAATAGAGTATTGGAATCTTGTCCAGTTCTAATGCTATATTTATGTTGTTTTAATCTTAGTTCGAGATTTTTACCAGTTTGACCGTAATAAACTTTATCGCAAATTTTACAAGGAATCTTATAGACACATCCATCAGCATTTTGGGGGGAATTTTTTATCAAAAGTTTTTTTACTGTATCAAGATTTTTGAATACAACTTTAATATTAAAAGTCTTAAGAAGAGAAGGCATATCAACCAATTTTTCATGGTAAGGGAGAACCAACATATTTTTAGTTGAATAAGGCTGGGTGTCCCTTTCTTGGATTGTAAAAAGTATTTCTAGCAACTTTAAAAGATTTATCAATTACATTTCTTGGGTATTTTAAATCATTACCTATTTCATAAATTTTGGATATTTCCTCATCTATGAACTCAGGACTACAAATTCGTAAAGCTCTCAAAAACATTGATGAGAAAACAGACAGTTTGACTCTATCTTGATGCGAGGAATAATAGTGGACATAGGAACAGTTATTTGTAGGTTTTCTGTAAATTTTAAATTTGAATTCATTATTACCCTTAATAATTAAAACATCTAGAAAAGGCAATGAGTTATTTTCTTCAAACTCAACAGTAAAGTTTATAGAATGGGCTAAGCTATTTAATTTTCCAAGGAAATGGTGTATATCTACATTTTGGGCATAAGACACAAAATATCATCAACATATCTGAACCATTTAGCTCTATTAGGGAGGATTGTGTTAAGCAACCTTGTTTCAAAAAATTCCATGTATAGGTTACTAAGAACAGGTGAAAGAGGATTTCCCATTGCCATACCAAACTTCTGAGTGTAAAACTTATCATTAAATACAAATTTTGCATCAACAATGCAATGTTTAATAAGTTTAATGATAGTAGGAACTGGCAATGGTAAATCATAGTTAACGAGTTCTTCAGATAAGAAACTTAATAAATCATCAACAGGAACTTTCGTAAACAAAGAAGTAACATCAAAACTAACCATGTTAAAATCATTTAAGTCAGTCAAGGAGCTTAATTTATCAACCAAGTCTATGTTGTTTTTAACATTAAAGTTAGAAATTTTGCCAACAATAGGGCTCAAAATATAAACAAGCCATTTGGATAATTTATATGAAACTGACCCTATGGAGCTAATAATTGGTCTGACTGGATTCCCTGGTTTGTGTTTTTATTAGTCCATACATGTAAGGTAAAGATGGATTAGTAGAAGTAAATTGTTTGACTAATTCATCTTTGTCTTTCAGTAGTAATGGTAATGGTAAACTATGATTTACCATTGCCAGTTCCTACTATCATTAAACTTATTGAACTTTGCATTGTTGATGCAAAATTTGTATTTAATGATAAGTTTTACACTCAGAAGTTTGATATGGCAATGGGAAATCCTCTTTCACCTGTTCTTAGTAACCTATACATGGAATTTTTTGAAACAAGGTTGCTTAACACAATCCTCCCTAATAGAGCTAAATGGTTCAGATATGTTGATGATATTTTGTGTCTTATGCCCAAAAATGTAGATATACACCATTTCCTTGGAAAATTAAATAGCTTAGCCCATTCTATAAACTTTACTGTTGAGTTTGAAGAAAATAACTCATTGCCTTTTCTAGATGTTTTATTATTAAGGGTAATAATGAATTCAAATTTAAAATTTCAGAAAACCTACAAATAACTGTTCCTATGTCCACTATTATTCCTCGCATCAAGATAGAGTCAAACTGTCTGTTTTCTCATCAATGTTTTTGAGAGCTTTACGAATTTGTAGTCCTGAGTTCATAGATGAGGAAATATCCAAATTTTATGAAATAGGTAATGATTTAAAATACCCAAGAAATGTAATTGATAAATCTTTTAAAGTTGCTAGAAATACTTTTTACAATCCAAAAAGGGACAACCAGCCTTATTCAACTAAAAATATGTTGGTTCTCCCTTACCATGAAAACTTGGTTGATATGCCTTCTCTTCTTAAGACTTTTAATATTAAAGTTGTATTCAAAAATCTTGATACAGTAAAAAAACTTTTGATAAAGAATTCCACCCAAAATGCTGATGGATGTGTCTATAAGATTCCTTGTAAAATTTACGATAAAGTTTATGACGGTCAAACTGGTAAAAATCTCGAACTAAGATTAAAACAACATAAATATAGCATTAGAACTGGACAAGATTCCAATGCTCTATTTATTCATGTAAGAGATTTTAACCATCCAATTGATTTTCAAAAAGTTGAGAAAGTAGTATCAAGCAAGTCCATGGTCGACAGGAATATAATTGAATCTTGTTTCATAAAAAGCAGTTTTGACAATAATATGAATATTTCCTTTGGTTTATATAAATTAGATCCATTTATAATTAATAGAATTTGGGAAGAATTTAATAATACACTGGACAAATAATAATTTTTAAATTTTCTTGGGTAGAATAGTTTGTTGGGTGAGTTGTGCAAAGGACCTATCCAAGTTGGGTCGGCGCACGTCAGGTGTTTAACCGTTGTGGGATCTGATAGTGAGGTGCTGGCCAGACCCCTTATATAGCTTCCTTGGATGCTTTACTTTCATAGTTCCTTGATAATGTGAGTAGTCACGAAAGCGCTTGGAATTTCTCTATTCTTTCAGAGTGGTTGTTTTGCATATTCTGAAATCACCTGTTTACTGTGATATTATTGCATATATATAATATATATATATATATATATATATATATATATATATATATATATATATATATATATATATATATATATATATATATATGCATATAAGATTTAAAATATATACATGTTAAATACCACGGGAGTTGTTCTAATTATCCATATGTTTAAACTGCTCAAGCACATAAGAATTCTAGAACAGTTGGGAGACATTGACACATATCACCAAATTATCCCTTGACCCGTGCTGAGTCAAGACCAACGTACACTTTACCAAAGTGAAGTCATGGTTATGTAGGTACTCAGTGATACTGTACTTCAGATCACATGCTCTCGCCTGAGAGTCAGGTTATCTGCACTCACCTGAGAGTCAGTCACCTGTACCCGCCTGAGAGTCAAGTCACCTGAAAGTCAGGTCACCTGCACTCACCTGAGTCAGGTCACCTGCAATCACATGAGTCAGGTCACATGCACACACCTGAGTCTGGTCACCTACACTCACCTGAATCAGGTCACCTGCACTCACCTGAGTCAGGTCACCTGCACGTTAGTATGTCGGAAGAAACTCGTAAGGGGAGAAAGTAAAAGCTGGAGCATCGTCTCTTGGGTGTCAATGTTCGAAAAGACGTGTACAAATGAACAGCTGTTGATGAGACGCAGTAACCCACACATGGTTATAAACATGAAATTCTCTCTCCTCTCTCTCTCTCTCTCACACACACACATGGGTGTTTATGTAACAACATAGCCACAAAGGGAGGTTTGGATAGCAGATCCAGACCTTTCTCCCTTTCTCTATGCTTCGTCAGGAGCTTGCACTGGAGGAGGTAAACAAGTTCTGAAGCTGCTATCCAACCCTTTCGTCTTTTCTCTTAGTAACCAACATTGTCTTACGCTTGAGCTTAACTTGAGCTCAAGATAAATACCATTACTTCATAACAACCAACATATTCACTCCTCATACGGTTGTCTGAGAGGAGGTCTACGAGAACTTTGCGCCGCAGTTTGAACACGCACGATCTCGCATCAAGAAGCAACAAACGAGCCCTATAGGAAAACAGATGATGGCCAGACAGATGCCACAACCCGTAAAGGTGTTCTCAAGCACGCCAACCTGTGGATGAGACGGGAGGAGTACGGGGTTAATAGCCATAGTAGATGGAAAGGAAAACCTGCTACCTACAGTAATAAAGAACTGACAGAGTAATAGAACATGCTTTAATTGGGACAACGTTTTTCTGTGTAGAGCTGTATTAATTTCACTGAGATGATAAAGCTCTACGCACTTATAAGCTTGTTCTGCACATGTCTCCTCATAATAAACTGGAAGACTAGTATACAGACTAGTATATAGACAATGAGGTTATGACATTTTACTGAGAAAACATTTCGCCCACCAGGGAATTTTATCCATTCACCTTTGAGGGATTGATAAAGTCGGTGGTGGACGAAACGTCTTCACAATAAAATGCCATAACCCGCACTGTCTTATTTATATTCCTCCATGATAGACGCAGTCCTGGAACTTCTAACAGCGAGTATATTTTCCATATGGAAAAAGCATGCAATAATACATATACAGTTAAGAGTCAGTAAACAAAATTTATGAATTTTCGAAAGACATAAAGCTGTCCAAGGTTTTACGAGATGGAGACTTACGCATACATCGAGTAAAAAAAAAAAACGTCCCTTGTCTACTGAAGACAATGGAAAAGAAGTTTTTGAGCCAAGTTAATTATTGTTATCAGCAGTATCATTGTTATTGTTGTTGCTAATAACAAGAATAATAATATAATAATAATAATAAACTATTTTTATTATTAGTATTAGTAGTAGTAGTAGTAGTATTTTTATAATAGAATGGTTACATAAGTATAAGAAGTATTAAACTTAAAAGATGACATAGTTGTACGAAAGTTACAACTTAGAGAGTTGAAGAAGAGTTACTGAATTAATTTGGTAATTTAGAAATGATGGAGCAGGATAGGTAGACCGGGTGGTTGTATAAATATAAAGTGGATGGAATGAGGGAAAGAGAATGTCCCAGGAAGAGTTGGAAGGAAGGAGTGAAGGTTTTTGAGTGGTAATGGTTTGAGCATTCAGCAGGTACATGTGAACATGTTGGGAGTATAAACAAGTAGTTTTGGGATATAACGTATTGCTAGAGTGTACGGAAATTGCTGAGAGGTGTACAATATGCACCCCGCACTGTACGTCTTCATTCGTTGCACACACCTGAAAGGTCACAAGTGGTACTACAAATATTATATCAGACCAAGCTTACTGTTATTTAAATATATATATCATTGCTAAAACATATAGTAAAGTGTAGATTGTATGCTGAATAAAAGTCAAGGAGTGAATAAATGAATACACACTTGTTGGGTAGTGGTAGTTGGGTAGTGGGTACTTCTTAACTCACACAGTTACTTTAGTAACAGACAACATGTGTTACAAGAGATTGCTCTAATAATACGTACTACTGGTAATACAATTACTGTGTAGAGACCTATGTCGTGTGTCTTCCTGTGGAGACTAGAAGAGTTCATCTCAACTTGGAAGCTGCCTATAACTGACCGAGAAGTCTTGGTCCCAGGGTTCGATTCCTGGTACAGGTGGAAACGTTGGACATTTACTTACACCTGCTACCCCTGTTCACCAAGCAGTAAGTAGGAACCTAAGTGTTACCTGATTGTTGTGGGTCGCATCCTGGGGTTGGGGCTTTGAAATGAGCTGAAGTAGGATAACAGCTCTTAGCCTGTAAAACTGATTAGTGTAAAAAAAAAAAATCTTACTCTAGGAGATGCCTTTAACTGACCGAGACACTGGCGCACTGCATCACTGTCCAGTTCTTGTACCATATGCTACAATGCCTAGACTACCATATGAATAGAGATTAAATCTCTATGTGTACTGTAATTCACATTATTCCTTGTAGGACAGATGACAGATTACTGCCTGTAGGAACAGCAGTAAATATAGATCATCTTACGGTACAGAACTGTTTTCTTGGAAGACTGTCCTCCTAACGAGCATTCTACCCAGGGAGGGAGAGGGTTGACACTTAGTATGTTTGATTATATATCAGAATTATATCCTAATAAGACTTCAAACTTATCTTATTATACTGATTTGTAATCCACATATTACAGGAATCATCTTTAAGTAAGTTACATATGAGATTCTTAAAGAAATTAACCTAAGGCTAGCTTGATACTGGAGTGTAAAGACACAAAGTGGATTATGGCACTTTATAATTAAGTAGCTGGTGGTCGAAATGTCTTCATAATAAAATACCATTGCCCGTATTATGTCTTAATATAATATAATATTCTTTATTTCTACAAGTACAGCTTACACAGACCTAGCTGACATCATTGAGTATATACTATTATATAGAAAGCCGCTTATGCAGAGCATTTCGGACAAATTAGGTCAATTTTGTCCCAGGATTCGACCCAAACCAGTCGACTAACACCCAGGTACCTAAGTCACCTACTCTCCAATGTTCACCTGGAACACTGGACAACATGTTACTTATGGAAACACGTCCTAGTGTTTTCCACCTATACCGGGGAATCGATACTCGGACCACAGTGTGTGAACTGAGTGCGCTAGTGATCCAGCTACGGGTCACCTTAGTTATAAAGTGTCGGTATACTCCACTACTGTATTACCGAGAGAGATAACGTGTGTTTTCCACGTTCGGGACACGAACGAGTATTTATCATATATCCTTCTCTGACCACTTCATCTATTAACTTACATCTGACTTTTAATGTTGCATTCCTAAACCTAAGTAAGTTACATCACAGACAGTAAATCTGATGTAAAAATAACTTTTTCCATACTGACTAAGGTAACATTTATGAAGAGATTCGGGAATACCGGTTAACCAGACTTGAGTCCTGTATATGGAAGCAACAGTGCCTGCACTCTGAATGTGAGGGGGGGGGGTATCACAATCTGAAGGGTCATCTGAACTATGATGTCCGCGTATTTCTGGCAAAACAGCTGTTGGTGTTGGTGGAATGATGGTAAATGCGTTTCCTTCTTTGAGTTACCCTAATTCGTGGAAAACGGCCGATGTGGCAAAAAATAGCACAATTGATAATATCATTAATGATAATAATAAAGTACTGCTACCACAGTTATTATTGACTAACCCGACAAGCTGGACAGGTGCCAGGAGCAACCACCACAACAGGAGCTGGAACAGTGTTGAAGGGTTGTATCTGTATTACATTGGGTGGTTGTTGGAAGCCTGACGGTGACGGTGGTGGTCCATTGAGGGGTCCTGGGTTGTATGGTGGTGGGAGCTGGTCATGCTGGGGAAAATTAGACGCTCCGTGGTTGTTCTGTGGTGCAGACTGATAAGGTTTGTGATCATACGGTGGTTGATTGGTGTAGAGTGCTGGTTGCTGGCTAGGTTTGTGTTCATAAAGTTTTGAGTCGTATGGGGGTGGATCCTGACTAGGCTTACTTTCATGCGATGGTCCAGGGTTATATCCCGTTGAACTCCCATGGGGTAGTCTAGGGTCGTACTCCGGTGAACTTTCTGCAGAAACAACAGAGCACACTTTCAACGATGTAAAGAAATAAACAAGATATAAAAGAAAAACTTCCTAGTCTATAATATACAAATAGTCGTAATGGTAGAAACACGACAAACATGATTAATTGCATGTGGAATAAGCGTCGATACTTTTGTAACAAAGATATGGCTTAATTATGACATTACATAAAAGTACCTTGAGATCTCAGTGGTCAGGGCTCGGGTTGGTGTTATGCTTAAAATATTTAATGTGAAGCGCTAAACTTCTGTCTGTTAAGCCCTAACGGGGAGAAGGGGTTCCTTAATGCAAGGGAAGGTCTCTTCATCCAAGGAATTAAAGCTGTCCTTCCTTTGCTTTGATCAAATCTGATTATCTCCCTGTTCTGTATAGTATGTAACGTGTTGTATGTCCTCTCTCTGTACGACTCCAGGTTAGTATAACCAGATTATGGGTAGACATACTACTTCGCGACTCCAGGTTGTATAACTAGACTCCACGGATAGTTACCGCCATACTTCAATAACTCTGTACAGATAAAGCACTGAGCAGTCACCAAGACTAAACGATAAGAGTTTAAGAAACAATGATGGTTTGGGAAACTAATGTTGGCTTCAGTAAGGCAAACGAAATTTATATGAAACTGTAGTTTAAATTCTAACTGTAAAATGAACTCGATCACTGAGAAAGTGAGATCTCAAAAATTAATTGATGTCATAAACCAAGTTTTAGTGATACAAAATAATATTGACGTTTTCTGTGCATACATTTAACCATGTCTTAGTTGATGAATATGACATATGTGCAACAGTTGGGTCCTTTTGGAGTCACACCCAAGCTTTGGGCATTAAGCCCGAGCGCTGGGGAAGCTCATGACTCCCTCTTGATGTGTGTGTTGCTAGTGCTACTACTACACTTGTCCGTTGCACTCTCTCAGCTGAAGCATGAGAATGGAGCCTTAAATACTGTCGAAATTGAGGTGGAAGATATCGAAGACATTAAAAAAGACTGGAATCACCTCTGGAATCCAACCCTTCTAACTCATAACTAGTAGTTAAGTGATGAAGTGTGGAAGACGTCCTCTGTACTAAGATACCGTTGTGCTGCAGTTATGTTGAAAATGGTATAAAATACCGACAAGATTATAAGTCACATGTGCAATAGTATTTGACTGACCGAAGCCTACTGTGTAGGCGAAACGTTTCACATGTGTTTTATTCATCAATTTGTCGGTATTTTATACCATTTTCAACATGCCTTAATTATTTATAATAATGTCGACGTTTTCTGTGAATACATTTAATCATAACTTGCATATCTAGTTTATCTTTTTATTGTTTGTATCATTGCTTATTGTTTCTGAATGAGCATAATCCATCTCCTTGCTTAATAATAACTGAAAGTTGTATTTTATTCCCTTGATAACTGGTATTTCTAAAATCCTTGGTACCAGTCTTGATACCGAACTACATTGCTTTCTGAACGATTTCTTATACTAACTCCTACGAGGGAAAACTTCTATTTGATTTTTTCTTGCAACAGTTTATTAAAGTTTTAAGCCTATCAGCTACACGTGGGTCAGTAAGGCTGCCTCTCACCTGTACATCGCCAGTCAAGGATAATTTAACATATAACAGGGATTTAATTAAACTCAGTGTATATAGTGAGATATATCCACCTCTCGGTATATATCTCACTGTTGTTTTTCAATTGCCATCAGTGTAAAAATTATTTATTAATATTATTATTTTATTATTAGTAGTAGTATTAGTATTAGCAAAGCACCTGCATGAGGCTTACAGGGCATTACCTGAATTACCTGCAAGTAATTTGGTTGAGGTAAGTGGGACTTAAAGTCACAGTAGGTCACTGAACTGCAACTCGTTCGATTCCCCACTTTTTCACCACTTTCACTTTGACATTAAATTAATGATAATAAAATTAAAACCAGCTACTCTGGTACATTGACGTTTAGTGGTCTGTACGTGATTAAGCTTGCTTGCTTGCTGGGTACACAGAACATTACTCAAGAATTCGTAATGACACGATTGCAAACAAACCATCCCCCCGGCCGATTTCTTGAGTCATGTTGACGGCAGTGAAGGGACTTGAGCTAGAGTTCGTCACGGCCACGCTAGCTGGAGAGTCGTCTGTAAAAACTTGCATTTGTGGTCACAGTGGTGCCTGTGCTAACCTTCCTATGGTGTAGAAATATACCTAGTTGGATGAATCTTATTGTGGCTAGCTGGTCTAGTGGCTAACGCGACGGGCTGGAGTTTTGAGACTCTCTGACCACGGGTTCAATCCCGGCCGGGGGTATGGTTTACACAGAACATTATTATTATTATTATACATAAATTATTAGTGTTATAAAAAACAACTTTTATTACCACTTACCATTTAATTGCTGGAAGACATTTGATGCTAATGGAGCACACCCTAACCTAACCCCTGGCAGCTAGAATTTACGAAGGCCAATGCAAAAACTACTGTACTTTATGGGTAATAGTCACTTGGCTAAGGTGTGTTGTTGGGAAGGGTTCATTGAAGTCCTCAATTTTCGTTCTCTACACGTAATTCTTGCGGTCCCGCAAATTTCCTGTCCCAGTACTTCAGCAGGAACGTGTCAGCAATTTCTAAATTGAGGCCGATACACCCCATTAGGCCTCCGAGGACGCCCGATTACTTACAGAATTTCCCATTACAACCAATATTCACACATTCAAAATGGAGTCTCACCACCGCCTTCCCTACTGGCTGTTCCACACTCCCCTTCACTTAAAATTTCTCGAAGGGTTCAAACAGCGTTATATTTTATTACACAATTATTGTATTATTCATTCATGTTCCACATTTAGAAAATTATTCAAAAAATTTCCACAGGTAGTATGAATAATAACAGCAGAAATTTGATTTGATTGGCAAATGATGCCGACAAGTATGGTAGAGATAGTCTGCAGAGGGAGTCTTTATTCTGACGATGTTTCGCTCACTATTGAGCTTCAGCAAGTCATTTTGACATGATAAAGCTCAACCCTGACCGAAACGCAGACATAATAGAAACTTGTTCTATTCTACAATAGAAACAATATACTGAGAAATTCAGTTTTTTTTGTTAGGCTGCCTGAGAGAATGACGTCTTAAACTAACTTTATATTATTATTATTATTATTATTATTATTATTATTATTATTATTAAGTGCATGTTTTGTAAAATAAAAAGGTTTTTGGAATTTCCTAACTGTTCAAAGAATCTAACAATACAAAGATAATCTAATTTTGCACAACTGTGATACATACACTCTTCATTGTTTATTCAAGAATACAGTATGAGAACCCCTGGAGCGCTGTAATAGGTCTACTGGCCCATGCCGGGCAGGTCTAACTCACGCCCATCCAACATATATTTAAAACTCTATGTATGTACATAGAGTAAATATTGCAAATGCAATATTTTTTTATTTAATGTTTCGTATTATATACAAAATAAATAATATATGTATAAACCAGAAAAGTCACTGGATATTTTACTCATAAAGCCATTTTGTTTGTTACAGTACTGACTGCTAGTGTTAAAAGTATGCTTAAGTAAATATAGATGTATTATTTTTATCACAGTATTAACAAATGGAAATCTGTTAATGAAACACTCAGCTCACCGTAACTCATCCTGAGAGGCTCTTCAAGAAGTGTTAAAGATGTGGGAAGTGTTAATTAGTGAAGCCGCTCACTACCAGCGGTAGTTGGCGACGCTCTGATCACTGCTCACTCAGAATTCACACTGAAACACCATGTATAGAAAATGGTAATCAACGAAACTTGATGTGCCACAAATATTTTTGTTTTTACAATATTTGTAACAATACTGTGACTGCAACAATGCCGTCACTGCGGCAGTACCGTAACTGGAAAAATACCATTGGCTCGAGTAATACCTTGATTGATGAATAAAGCACATACGCAGCACCTAGGTATCTTTATTGGAGAAACGTTTTGCCTGCACACCAGAATTTTTCAGTAAGACTGGTGTTGCAGTCATCAACTTAGGCTTCATCTAAGCCTGTGCTCAGAACCAACAGTTTCGCATACCAAGGCTTACACATACAGGCCTTACAGAGGCACCGATAAACTATTATGACAGTATATATTTTATCTAAAACATTACCGTGGCTAGAACAATACTGCGACTGGAACAATTAACTTGCAATCTGAGAACCAAAACTGGACGGCATTTTGCTCTGTTCTGGAACACTATCAAGTAACAACTTAATAACTTTCCAGGACTGACACAAATTGCTTTAGTGTTCATTTCTAATTTTGTGGGTAAACTGTGACTTGTCTTATGAAGTGATGTAAGTCTTAAGAGCTATCCTGTCCTGCTTCCTGAGGATAAAAAAGTTTTAACAATTATCTTATGATATAATGCAAGCCTTAACAATTATGAACATTAAAATGGTATAAAATACCGACAGGTTGTTAGGTAAGACACATATGCAACAGTTAGGTATCTTTATTTCGAAACGTTTCGCCTACACAGTAGGCTTCTTCAGTCGAGTACAGAAAAGTTGATAGAAGCAGAAGAGACTCGAAGACGATGTAATCAGTCCATTACCCTTAAAGTTTTGAGGTGGTCAGTCCCTCAGTCCATTTTAATGTTCAATCTGTGAGACACTGCAACACAAGGGTATCTTGGTACAGACCTGAAATCAACTTCGACAACCTCTACTAGTGGGAGCGGCTGGATTTGAGAGGGACCTGACCTCCCAACATCTGCGTTCTACTAGTGATCTACGTCTCACCTCCTGGCGCTATATAAGGCTCCATCCTGTCACTTCAACTCCATATTGTTTCAGACTATGGAACAATGCTCTTCTCCAGACTGAGGGACTGACCACCTCAAAACTTTGAAGGGTGATGGACTGATTACATCGTCTTCAAGTCTCTTCTGCTTCTATCAACTTTTCTGTACTCGACTGAAGAAGCCTACTGTGTAGGCGAAACGTTTCGAAATAAAGATACCTAACTGTTGCATATGTCTTACCTAAGACACAACAATTATAATGTGATATAAGCATTAATAATTATCTTCTCAAGCTTCCTGAGGATTAAACACCGTCAACACATCTTCCATTACTCATTAACCTGTTCCTCGAGAATGCCTCTTCATTATCTTACTTCAACACTGGGACAATACTCTGTTTTCTGACTCCTGAAGGTGCCCTGCCAACTCTGACTTGTAAATTTTTGGCAACGCTTCCCACACTGGTGCCACTACATCTCTCAGGACCCAAGGAGACACTACTCCAGGTCACATTACTGTTGACTTGTTCATTATATTTGTCAGTGACTTTCATCGCCTCTTATGTTAATATTATTCAGTCTTCACTGGTTTATCCATCTTTTCCTGCATTACCTGCTTCCTCGGTGAACATCTCTTTGAAATGGTGGTTTCATTCCTTACATATTTCAAGATCATTACTTGTCAGTTCTCGTTCCTTAAGTATTATTAATTCGTTAATGTCATCTTCCGTCTGTTGTGGCTGTGCAACAATTTTAGTTATGGCTTTGCGTTTGTGTTGTGCTGTTCTCATGTTGTCATTCTGCCTCTTTCTCCCGCGCATAATCGTTTCTGCATCATTAAATGGAAAATGAACATGTTTTTCCTCGTTTAGTAGTTTTTGTTACTGCAATAACGTGTGTCATGTGTTATCAGACGCTTACAGTAGGTTTTGTAAGGACGGTGAAAAGAAGTGTATCTTGTTATCTGCAACTAATGCCTTCGGTGTTGTGTGTCGTCGTGATAAAGCGACTCTTCGTCCACAACCACTAGCTTTAGCAATGTATGTCGTCGTGATAAAGCGACTCTTCGTCCACAACCACTAGCTTTAGCAATGTATGTCGTCGTGATAAAGCGACTCTTCGTCCAAACACTAGCTTAGCATGTATGTCGTCGTGATAAGCGACTCTTCGTCCACAACCACTAGGCTTTCGCAATGTATGTCGTCGTGATAAAGCGACTCTTCGCCCCAAACCCATAGCTTTAGCAATGTATGTCGTCGTGATAAGCGACCCACGTCCACAACATAGCTTTAGCAATGTATGTTCGTGATAAAGCGACCCCCGTCCATAACCACTAGCTTTAGCAATGTATGTCGTCGTGATAAAGCGACCCCCGTCCACAACCACTAGCTTTAGCAATGTATGTCGTCGTGATTAACGCGACCCCGTCCACAACCCTAGCTTTAGCATGTAATGTGTCGTGATAAAAGCGACCCCTGTCCAAAAACCACTGCTTTAGCAATGTTGTCGTGATAAAGCGACCCCCGTCCACAACCACTAGCTTTAGCAATGTATGTCGTGATAAAGCGACCCCCGTCCATAACCACTAGCTTTAGCAATGTATGTCGTCGTGATAAAGCGACCCCCGTCCACAACCACTAGCTTTAGCAATGTATGTCGTCGTGATAAAGCGACCCCCGTCCATAACCACTAGCTTTAGCAATGTATGTCGTCGTGATAAAGCGACCCCCGTCCACAACCACTAGCTTTAGCAATGTATGTCGTCGTGATAAAGCGACCTTCGTCCACAACCACTAGCTCCAGTATAAAGTGTGTCGTCGTGATACAGCGACCTTCGTTCACAACCATTAGCTTCAGTAATGTATGTCGTCGTGATAAAGCGACCTTTGTCCACAACCACTAGCTTCAGTAATGTATGTCGTCGTGATAAAGCGACCTTTGTCCAAAACCACTAGCTTCAGTAATGTATGTCGTCGTGATAAAGCGACCTTCGTCCACAATCACTAGCTCCAGTAATGTGTGTCGTCGTGATACAGCGACCTTCGTCCACAACCATTAGCTTCAGTAATTATGTCGTCGTGTCGCGACCTTGTCACAACCATTAGCTCTCAGAAAATGTATGTCGTCGTGATACAGCGACCTTCGTCCACAACCATTAGCTTCAGTAATGTATGTCGTCGTGATACAGCGACCTTCGTCCACAACCATTAGCTTCAGTAATGTATGTCGTCGTGATACAGCGACCTTCGTCCACAACCATTAGCTTCAGTAATGTATGTCGTCGTGATACAGCGACCTTCGTCCACAACCATTAGCTTCAGTAATGTATGTCGTCGTGATACAGCGACCTTCGTCCACAACCATTAGCTTCAGTAATGTATGTCGTCGTGATACAGCGACCTTCGTCCACAACCATTAGCTTCAGTAATGTATGTCGTCGTGATAAAGCGACCTTTGTCCACAACCACCTCGCTGAGGTGTTAAGGCATAAAATTTCATTTAAACGTCAAATACCCCCAACACCTGGAGTAGACAGGATCTCTAGGGGTTATGTCTTTCCCAGGAGGAAGGGGGCAACATAACCGCCAAGCTGTGAGAGAAGAATGTTCCCCAAGAGGTGAGGGTGGGAAGCATGTTTTCCCAGCGGCCAGGGGGAGTATGCATCCCAAGTGGTTAGGATTGGCAGTACATCCCCTAAGGGGTAAGGGTGGGCAGTATATCCCCCATGGGGATATAATGTCCCCCATGGGATGAGGGTAGGAAGTATATTCCCCAGGGGGTGAGGGTGGACAGTATGTCCCCCAAGGGATGGGGGTGGACAACATGAATTCCCAGAGATAAGATAACACTGATACCTGCCTCGCTTGGTCCCTATCTGAGCCTCGTGATTAGTAATGTTATATCGCAGACATGCGTGGACTTTTTAACAACAACGATTACACAAGTTGAGCATTTTTCTCTCTCTCTATAATATAACATTAATGCATTCTACATAGGCTCAGTCCAATCCAGTTGGAGAGAATAAAAGTACTTTATATTTAAGTGCGACACTGAGGCAATCTATAGTAGAGTTTTGTTGTATTTACTAGTGTATACGTCGACTGAGCAGTCAGGCTCAGCACCATTGGATTTCTATATAGGAACTGGATGGGCGTTTCTCACCCGTGGGAGGGAGTCCCCGGAACCCTAGGGTTCCGCAAGAGGTCGCTAGGAGTTTCGAGAAAAATAGTGATAGGTAAATCATATGTAAATGCATTTTTGAGCCATTTTTGTGTTTTAATTTTATATTCTTAATTTTACTATACACGTAGGACATATTCTTGGAAAATTCTTGAGTATTATAATGAAGTCTTCAACATGTTACGACACTAGTGTGAAACCGCCTTTAGTAGTCAGTGGAAAGGAGCTGTACGTAACGGATTCGTGGATCATCAAATGTATGATTGGGTAAGGGATCCATACTCTGAATCTTCTGGGCATCCTGAAAACTTGACTCTAAGAGAAGAGGAAGAAGTTTGTGAGCTGTAGTCTGATCGTACACTTAAGATGAGATTTACTGACCTATTCCTGAACAAGCTCTGGATTTCTGTGAAGGAAGAGTATCCTGCCATTCATAGGAAAGCAATAAATATATTGGTGCAGTTTTCAACCTCTTAGATGTGTCAGCAAACTTTTTGTTATTTAACAAGTATCAAGAGCGAAGACAGAAATCGTCTTCTTCCACCTGAATATAAAATCTGTGTATTTATTTAAAGTAGGACCCAGAATTAAGTATTTGTGTAGCAAAAGACAATCACAGGTTTCACATTAGAGAAGCAAATTTCATTATCTAAATTAGCTTCATAATAACATATCATTGACCCATATATTTGCTCGTATGACATTTTGCCTTGATTTATCTCATGGCTTTTCAACATTGTCAATAAACGATTAGATTATTGTAGTAGTTATTATCCGTTTTCGCTCTTTTTAAATGTGTTATATATAGGATCTTGGTTATTTATATATTTTTTTTCAGATATAGTTAATTTTCGTGTTAATGAAAACATCCATATGAGGTCCCTTGAACAAGCAGTCTGATTTCATTTTTTTTTTTTGGGGGGGGGGGACTGTCAATAAACTTGAGAAAAACTTAAGTTATATTTTGCTTAAACCAGCTATCAGGAAAAAAATATATTTTCCATATAAACTTTAAGTTTATAAAAGAGAAAGAAAGATATTAAAAATTACATATAATAATTTTTATGTAGGGTATCCCTGAGACATGAAAATTATTTCAAGGGTACCACAAGGGTAAAAAGGTTGAGATACACTGGATTATACAATTAGTGCCTTCGTGTTCAATGATGAGTATACCCACGTCCCTGTGCAACTCATTAGGTACCCGAATTACGTAATCCAATGCAATGGACACTATTGTTTGGGTAGGAGACCCGTAGCTTCCCGTTATTTTTTACAGCCAAGCGCAATGCTCTGCGTACATCACCCATCAAGTTACTGAGCACATACACAACTTACTGACCGAAAGGTCCGCCTATTATCTGCAGTGCATTCATGGGAAACTTTAACATTAAATGAATTTATCATATACTAAAAATGTGTTCTCTAAATGACTAAAATCCGATGAAACAACCATGGATCTGATCTGAATTCACTCAGGCAATTTTTGAATCAGTTTAAATGTGCTACCCACTGTTTTATGTAGCATCTTAGCATCAAGGAATGGTACTCTCTCTAAGTTCATATTAATAATACATATATGGGGAGCACTAAAACTGTTAGGATCCTGCAGCACATGGGAATTGGTAGGCACTTAGGTTTGATCGGAGGAATTAGAGGGTAGGTTAAGAGTCCCTCACCAGCATCGAAAGTGACTTCTTGAAGTGTCTTTTTACATGTACCTGTGTAATTTGTATATATACCGTTATTGATACTAATGCATAACTATGACAAAAAATATAAACAGGTGCCAAAGAATAAAAGCGTCTCTCCTCTTGACAAAACAAGTAACACTTTCTTGCATTACTATTAAATGTAACAAATAAAATAATGACCTAAATAAGACAAAATATCACTACAAGGGAATACTTACAGTAAGAGCGGGGAAGTGTTGTTGAGTGTGTGTGTTGGTGTCCGGGAAGGTGAGTGAGACACACTGTACCTTCACTAGTAACCTCACTTACTCAACCACCAAGTTTGTCGTTATCTTCCCACTCTTCACTCGTACCATCAACATCTCACTCGCGGAAGAAAACAAAATTTTGATTAAATGGCTTTAATCTTTTGGATTTTTAACATGAGTTATAAACACCGAAACTACAACAAATAAATCAACTTCGTGTTAAACTGCCAAACACGTTGAACTATTGTCAGTTATTTACCTTCTGCACTAATACTCGCATTGAATAAATATCAGAATATATACCGACGAGATGTTTAAATTACAAGTGAACTCTTTGCTTCTCATTCAGGGTTGACTGTACGATGGTTATCACTCAAGGTTCACTGTACGATGGTTGTTATCACTCAAGGTTCAGTGTACGATGGTTGTTATCACTCAAGATTCACTGTACGATGGTTGTTATCACTCAAGATTCACTGTACAATGGTTTTTATCACACAAGATTCACTGTACGATGGTTATCACTCAAGATTCACTGTACGATGGTTGTTATCACTCAAGATTCACTGCAGGGTGGTTCTTATCACACAAGATTCACTGTACGATGGTTTTTATCACACAAGATTCACTGTACGATGGTTGTTATCACTCAAGATTCACTGTACGATGGTTATCACTCAAGATTCACTGTACGATAGTTATCACTCAAGATTCACTGTACGATGGTTATCACTCAAGATTCACTGTACGATGGTTGTTATCACTCAAGATTCACTGTACGATGGTTGTTATCGCTCAAGATTCACTGTATGATGGCTGTTATCACACAAGATTCACTGTACGATGGTTATTATCACTCAAGATTCACTGTACGATGGTTGTTATCACTCAAGATTCGCTGTACGATGGTTGTTATCACTCAAGATTCACTGTAAGATGGTTGTTATCACCCAAGATTCACTGTACGATGGTTGTTGTGGCATGCAAAGAGTACGTAACCTTTATTCGGCGCATGTACATACCCTCATTTACAGGCTATCTCCCCCAACCAGCGAACCAGGTGACTGAGGGTTGACAATGGGGCCCCGTCGTTCAACCAGTACCCAGGTTCCAGCCAATGAGAAGATGGTTTTGGCAATCGCAGAGGTTATGTGGGTACCACTCTCCTGTCTGTCCTTGTCATTCCCATTCTAGAGCTGGTCGAAGCACGGTCTGCTCTCTAGTGGCTTCTATTCTGCCTTGCTTACCGTGGAGTGCACCAATACCTATCGCTGTACATAGTGTATATAGTGTACATACTTCTGTTCTAAATTGGTGAAGGATAATATAAGTCAAAAGTTTTCTGCTGTGTTTATTTTGCTCCCTTTACACCCAAGATAACAGGCCATTTGGACTCCTGGGTTGTAATAGTTATCACTCATGATTCACTGTACAATGGTTATCACTCAAGATTCACTGTACGATGGTTGTTATCACTCAAAATTCCCTGTAAGAGGGTTGTTATCACTCAAGATTCCTTGTACGAGGGTTGTGATCACTCAAGGTTGACTGTACTATAGTTGTGACCACTCTCAAGGTGGGCTATAGGACGGTGTAACTATCGAACATGTAGTGAGACTTTGAGGAAAAAATCAGTCAATCTATGCTATAATAACATGAATACCTTGTCCACACTTGAACAATACCACATATGTTATGCAGGGAGCTAGGACTCAAGGATTCTTGAGTTCATTAGTTTTATTGTCATTATAGGAACTGAGGCAACTTGTGAGGCAGCTGGTTATTAGATATTATCATAAAACATTTAAATTTCAAGTACACATCTTGGCTGATAAAGAATTATACAGATTAAGTAGTAAATATAATGAGTGACGAGGAGGAATTAGTCAGGGTCACATGTTTCACCAGGCCGGCCCACTGACAACATACAATCCATTCCTACGGATTTGGGTCCTTACTGGACCCAAGCAACCCCTATATTGAGGGTTTTTTCCTGCTGGACACACACGGGTAGTAACCGTGGTGATGAATAGCCAGAAAATCCTCTACAGTAATAATAATAACCATAAAGTTCATATACACATGGCATTGATGCACTACCATCACAGTAAACAGATGATATCACAATATAAAAAATAACCATTGTAAAAAAAATAGAAGAATTCTGAGCACCTTCGTTATTTCTCACATTATCAAGGAATAGTAAAAATAATACAAGCGAAATATAATTGAATCAAACTTCATTATTATTATTTATTATTATTAAAGATTCTCCGGTATTCTCCCGGCCCGGGCCTTTTCCAAGTGGTGGCCCGGCCTTGGCTCCCTCTTTAGGGAGTGTCTGAGACCGAAGTCTCCCATGGGAGGAGGCACAAATACCTCCTCATCTTTGGGATCAATTGTCCCCAGGCCTAGCCACAAGCTAGGCCTCTCTGGTCTGCCATCCCCGCCCCAAGAGGGCTAATGGGAATGACAGTCTTGTGAGCTACAAGCTCCGGCTCAGGCACCTACCCTACCCTAGAAGGGTTAGGCATGGTATCGATCAATCAAACTTCAAAAAATAGCATGACTGCGATAGGAATGTAAGTTCTGAGTTGTATAAATTATATTCATTTATATTAAATAGAATTTGTGATTATTTTAAACTATGCCTGACATGTCACTCTTATAAAATGTTTACATGTATGACCTGACTAAATCTTCACTACACTTCCACTCTCAGTGAGTAGGGTCCTATGTGTGGTCATATGTGAAGTCATGTTTCACCTTTATAAGTCCTCTGTTCTATACCTTTTACTATTCCTTGATAATGTGAGAAATCACGAAAATCTTTGGAATTTCGCTATTTTTTTCATTTTGGTTATTTTGTACACGTTTGTGAGTGTACAATGTGACTCGTGCATGTAGCGGGCGTTGCAAGATGACCAGCGGACATTTGCTGCAGAACAGTGGTAACGAGAGGAACTTAACCATGATCTAGGAGTGAATGAAGTGTGAGCTGTACATAGAAAGTGTTTGTACCTGGAAATCATTCATGTAAGCAAAAGAATCAGTTTTTTTTTTTGTTTTTGTTTTGCGTACTCTGTGCTGGAGATGCTCTAATGACCTGCAGATCAAGAATATAATTTTTTCTTTGCTATTTATTTAGGTCATAAGTTAAAGATATTTAATAAATAAGTGTTAGGAGATCATAATTATTACTTTTTTGTGTTTTGACTTCAAACATAAGTTTTAAAACATATTTTTTTCTTTTCTTTTAGGTGCATAGTTTTCTAGTAGATTATATATACATCCAGCAGGTCCTTCACACCACTCGTCTTTGAGCGAAAGAAGAAAGATGAATGTGTAGAAAGAGATAATGAAGAGAAAAAAAAAGAACAACTTTTGTAAAGATACATGAGAGATGAAGTCTCTCTCTCTCTCTCTCTCTCTCTCTCTCTCTCTCCTCTCTCTCTCTCTCAGATAAGCACCACACAATCACAAGGACTATGTCAGCAATGGGAAATGCAGCAGCTGATAGTGGAAGATAAGGTGTGGGCGGCACTATGGACGTTCAGTTCACAAAGCAACACAAACCAAGGTGACAGTACCTCTTCAGTTCTCTCACTCTTGTGTTATTTTGTTTGGTAAGTCCTACAGTGCTCGGACAAATTTGTTTTTCTTACACCACTAAATTTACAGGCTGAAATCCTGTTATCTTTCCTCAGCTCGTTTCAAACCTCAGTCTTCTGTTAGTTATTCTACTGCCCTAGCCCCCCCCCCCTCCCACACCCAGAGATGTCACTCACAAGTCGGATAATTTCAATTGCGTTCTTTTATCCGCTGTGGCTAGTGTGTTGCTTATAGCAACACACTAGCCACAGTGTATATAAATTTACTAGATATTTCTAGCTTGTGTGGGTAATTTGAGAAACCTGGTGTAAGCTGCTACATGTGACTGGGGCGATATAGAGTTATAACATCACATGTCCTCCCACACGTGCTTCCCATACTTGAATCAAACATTATGGCTAAAACCATCGATCTGTCCCGTTTTTCTTACAGGTGCTTCTTTTTTTTATATACATTTGGAAAGTTTCGAGAGTTTTTTTTATTCCGAATCCCGGTCCTGGGCCAGGCTTATCTGGTGCCTGCCTCGTTAATCAGGCTGTTGCTGTTGACGGCCCGCAGGCCCACATATCCATCACTGCCTAGTTGATCTGGCACTTAGTGGAGGTACTTGTCTAGTTCCCTCCTGAAGGCTTCTGCACTTGTCCCAGCAGTGTTTCTGATATTACTTGCGAGGGGGAAAATACATACCTTTGTTAACATTGTCATGGTTTTTGGTTATGACTACTAATCTGCTGATGGAATTAGATTATCTGATACATTAATGCCCATTCATTAATACAAATGTTTTATTTACCTAAGCTTTTTTATTATAAGATAACACTAAGCACTATTAAAAATCCTTAGATATGGGAGTCAGAACTACTTACAAAGATTTTCTGTCAGCAAAGTTAACTTATGAGGTTAGCTGGAACACTACACGAGAAAGGACAGGGTACGAGTACTGGCTCTCTTCCCTTCGAGCTTCTGTGTGATTAATGGTCCAAGTCGGACCGAAACGTCTTCATATGTGCGGGTTATCTGTGTGTTGTTCCAGTCTCCGTATTGTGCCTTTTTATTCTTTCGGAACTTAACCAGTGTGGTAATGTCCAGCCCTTAAGATATTATATTTTATAGTCCATCATTTATATAACCTGGATAGCGCACACGATAAGTTCTCAGAAGTATATGCGATAGTTAATTTTTCACTTCATGGCTATTACACGAGAAACTGTGGTTGCAAGTGATTATTTACAAAAAAGAAAAAAAAAATCTGCTTCTATCCGCCAAAGATGTTTTGGGATTTCTGTGTTTAAATATCTTAATGTCAAAGACAAATTCTGCCTAACTCTGTCAGTGTCTTGAACAAACAATCACTATATGTATGCAAATTTAAATAAATCATCGTCAAAGTACATATATCAAGAGAACTATCATGTGTCAAGAGCATTATTTACTAATATATTCTGAAGTCATTAATATTCCAGGTTGTGTTCAACGGGTCATTCCTGCGACAACAATGACTGACAATAAGCATTCAGGTAAGTATTAAACTTAATATATGCGGGACCCTATTGCACATCTTTAACTCTCTATTACTTAATGTTACTAAGAAGACGTTTCGCCCGCCTGGAATTTGGTCAATTTTCACCAGTTTTCCCACAAAAGAACTGATAAAGTCCTTGGTGGATGAAACGTTCTCTCAGTGAAATACTAAAATACTATAAATCATATATTATGTGTTATTAGTATAATATCATTGATATATATTATGTGTTTTAAGTACCAACCTTCAGTCCCTTGAGCTCTGATGTATCAATAAGAAAATGTAATAATTACGACGATAACAACAGTAATAATGAAATACGTTTGGTAAGTTCACTTAAACTGATCCTTTTATTTGAAAAAAACTTGATCTTTATATATAGATGTAACCACAACCAACACTACCACTATTGACATCAACACTACCACTACTGACATCAACACTACCACTATTGACATCAACACTACCACTACTGACATCAACACTACCACTACTGACATCAACACTACCACTACTGACATCAACACTACCAATACTGACATCAACACTACCACTATGGACATCAACATTACCGATACTGACATCAACACTACCACTACTGACATCAACACTACCACTACTGACATCAACACTACCACTACTGACATCAACACTACCACTACTGACATCAACACTACCACTACTGACATCAACACTACCAATACTGACATCAACACTACCACTATTGACATCAACATTACCACTACTGACGTCAACACTATCAATACTAACATCAACACTACCACTACTGACATCAACACTACCACTAGTGTAATAAAGTTGGTAGAATTACCGACAATATGTAAAGTAAAAGAACACAAGTACAACTAATGTGGTGCAAGAAAGGTATAAAATACCGACAATATGAAAGTTAAGACACATGTGCAACATCTGGATATCTTTATTGTAGACGTTTCGCCCTCCAGTGGCTTTATCAATACAGATTCTAGAACATAATTGGAAGACAGTAGAACTATATACAAAAGATGAGGTAATCAGTCCCTCAGCCTTGGAGTTAGTATTCACAGCATCGTGGTGGAGGAGAATCTGGAGCAAAGGCGAACGAACGAACGATAGTTCAGGAAAGATCCCAATTGGGATGAGCGGGGAAGACGGGACAGGCGAAGATTTGCGCTAGAGAGGAGTGTAGAATTGAGCCATGTCTTAACCCAATAGCTAAGGCGAACGTGGGTCAGAGAATGAACAGCGCAAGGTACCTGTCAGAGAATCTAAGGTTACTTGTAAATAGGGTTAGGAGCAGGATCATACAAGGAGTAGAAAAGGTTGTGTTGGTTTGTGGGTCTGCGAATGTCTTCAAGGAGAGAGATCCAGTAGTCATGTCGTGTCTCAAGTTTGTCTATATGTCTGTCACTGAGCGTCTTCCAGTACAGATTCAGCGCAGGGATGTCTAATTGAGCATGGAGAGACTCGCTTGTGGCGAAGTCTTCCCATCTGACATTAAGCACCCAGCGCAGCGCCTTGTTCTGGACACGCTGCAGTTTAAGTAAGTTCGTTTTAGCTGCAAGAGAGAGGGCTAGAGGAGAGTAAGTTATCAGAGGACGTATTAGGGATTTGTAGAGGTATAGTTTGGTGCGATAGGAGGCATGTTGCAGCTTATAGAGGCCCGCAAGGGCCTCTACAAGCATCGTGGTGGAGGAGAATCTGGAGCAAAGGCAAGAAGACTGGCGGTTATATAGGCGTCAGTGGATAAGGACGTGTAGCAGACGAGGGCATAGATTCTCCTCCACCACGATGCTGTGAACACTAACTCCAAGGCTGAGGGGCTGATTACCTCATCTTTTGTATATAGTTCTACTGTCTTCCAATTATGTCCTAGAATCTGTATTGATAAAGCCACTGGAGGGCAAAACGTCTACAATAAAGATATCCAGATGTTGCACATGTGTCTTAACTTTCATATTGTCGGTATTTTATACCTTTCTTGCACAACTTGTCAGACACTGCAACATCATGGAATCTTGGTTCAGAGGACATCTACAAGACCTTCTTCACGGCTGCTGCAACTAACCCATCTCTTTGGGAAGGACCTACTTCCACTGGGAAATTCCGCCTACCAGTGACTATGCCCTCGTATGCTGCACGTATTTATCCACTGACGCCTATATAACCGCCAGTCTTCTTGCCTTTGCTCCAGATTCTTCTCCACCACGATGCTGTGAACACTATCTCCAAGGCTGAGGGACTGATTACCTCATCTTTTGTATATAGTTCTACTGTCTTCCAATTATGTCCTAGAATATGTATTGATAAAGCCACTGGATGGCGAAACGTCTACAATAAAGATATCCAGATGTTGCACACGCAACTAATGTGACATTTTATTGTGGCAACGTTTCGCTCTCCAGGAGCTTTGTAACGGCTTGACAAAGCTCCTGGAGAGCGAAACATTGCCGCAATAAAATGTCACATTAGTTGCACTTGTGTCCTTTTACTTTACACTACCACTACTGACATCAACACTACCACTACTGACATCAACACTACCACTACTGACATCAACACTACCACTATTGACATCAACACTACCACTACTGACATCAACACTTCCACTACTGACATCAACACTACCACTATTGACATCAACACTACCACTACTGACATCAACACTGTTAGGTAAGACACATATGCAACAGTTAGGTATTTTTATTTCGAAACGTTTCGCCTACACAGTAGGCTTCTTCAGTCGAGTACAGAAAAGTTGATAGAAGCGGAAGAGACTTGAGGACGATGTAATCAGTCCATCACCCTTAAAGTTATGATGGACTGATTACATCGTCTTCAAGTCTCTTCTGCTTCTATCAACTTTTCTGTACTCGACTGAAGAAGCCTACTGTGTAGGCGAAACGTTTCGAAATAAAAATACCTAACTGTTGCATATGTGTCTTACCTAACAATCTGTCGGTATTTTATACCACTACTGACATGAACACTACCACCACCCCGTCCTCTCCCCAACAACCACCACAACCCCACCTTACCCTTCCTCACCCACAGGTCCTCCACCACCGTACAGCAGCATCGATGGAGTTTCACCAACAGTAGTGGAGGGAGTGAGTTATGGAATGCCCCAGGTGATCACTTCGCAGACTCAAGTCCTGACTACCCCCGTCGTAATCATTGGCAACACCTGTCCAACCTGCAGGGTGAGACTTTGCTGTAATGTGTTCAACTCGGATGTCAATGAAGAAGATTGGGCTTTTCGTCCCTATGTTAAGTTTGGAAGAATCTTTTGTGGTTTGGAATCATTTTTGTGAAGTTTGGCATAATTTGTTAAGTGTGGTATAATTTGTTGTGAAGTCTGGTATAATTTAATGTGAGGTTTGATATTTGTTAGGGTTGATATAGGGTTGACAAATTACACCAAAGTGTAATTTGTTATGAGGCTTGTATAATTTGTTATGAGGCTTGTATAATTTGTTATGAGGCTTGGCATAATTTGTTATGAGGCTTGTATAATTTATGAGGCTTGGCATAATTTGTTTTGAGGTTTGGCACAATTTGTTGTGAGGTGTGGTATAATTTGTTAAAGTGTAGCATAATTTGTTGTGAGGGTTGTATAATTTGTTGTGAAGTTTGTATAATTTGTTGTGAAGTTTGTGTAATTTGTTGTGAAGTTTGTATAATTTGTTGTGAGGTATGGTGTAATTAGTTGAGGTTTGGTACAATTTGTTGTGAGGTTTTGTTCGTGTTTTGAATGAAGGAAGACATGACCGAAACGTATAAATGGAAAATGGGCATAAATAAAGGATATAAATAGGGTTCAGGGGATATCCTTCAAGAAAGAACTCGAAATAATGGATTCTAATTGAGTAAGTTTAGATTTAGAAAGGATATATGAAAGGACTCTTCTGGAAATAAAGTGATGGGTGGAACAGTCTGCCTAGTAGTGTCAGTAAAGCTAAAAACCTCAGGTACCTTCAAATATATAGGTTGGAAAAATGCATAAGTGAGAGGGGTTGGATTTGAGTGGGACTTGCACACGAGTTAATAGTGTTATCAAAGATTATGGGTTGTGATAAATGGTTTAGAAAAACTATAAGCTGAAGACTGAGACACTTATGCAACATATGAGAATGAAATTAAGACACATGTGCAACATCTGGGTATCTTTATTGTAGACGTTTCGCCATCCAGTGGCTTTATCAATACAAATTCTAGGACATAACTTGAAGACAGTAGAATTATGTACAGAAGATGAGGTAATCAGTCCCTCAACCTAGGAGTAGGTGCAAAGAGCACCATAGTCGTGGAGATTCTGAAGCAGAAGAAAGGAGCCTGGCGCTTATATAGTAACGTCAGGTGTAGCAGACGAGGGCACAGTCACTGGTGGGCGGGATTCCCCAGTGGAAGTAGGTCCTTCCCAAAGAGATGGGTTAGTTGTAGTAGTAGTTGTCGTAGCCGTGAAGGTTATGTACATGTCCTCAGAATCAAGATTCCATGATGTTGCAGTGTCTGACAAGTTGTGTAAGAATGGTATATAATACCGACAAGATGAAATTAAGACACATGTGCAACATCTGGGTATCTTTATTGTAGACGTTTCGCCATCCAGTGGCTTTATCAATACAAATTCTAGGACATAACTTGAAGACAGTAGAACTATGTACTAACCCATCTCTTTGGGAAGGACCTACTTCCACTGGGGAATCCCTCCTACCAGTGACTATGCCCTCGTCTGCTACACCTGACGTTACTATATAAGCGCCAGGCTCCTTTCTTCTGCTTCAGAATCTCCACTACTATGGTGCTCTTCGCACCTACTCCTAGGTTGAGGGACTGATTACCTCAACTTCTGTACATAGTTCTACTGTCTTCAAGTTATGTCCTAGAATTTGTATTGATAAAGCCACTGGATGGCGAAACGTCTACAATAAAGATACCCAGATGTTGCACATGTGTCTTAATTTCATCTTGTCGGTATTGTATACCATTCTTACACAACATATGAGAATCTTTATTGAGGAAACGTTTCACCACACAGTGGCTTCATCAGTCCAATACAAATCAGAAAGGTGTTAGGAGAGAAGAAGTTTGAGATAATCAGTCCCTCAGCCTGGAGTCGATGTGTTCAGTCCATCAATCTTGTAGAAAGTATATACAAGGAATTCTTCAATACTTGTCCAACATTTGGACGAAGACCTACTTAAACTAGTGGATGGTTCCACTGTGATCCCACCTCCTCCTGCTTCCACTCACTTGACTACAGTATATAAGCCACTTCTCCGGCCATATGCTGTACTTTCTACAAGAGTAACAGACTGAACACATCGATTCCAGGCTGAGGGACTGAGTACCTC